GGGGGGGGGGGGTCAGGTATCTTTGTCTGAGACACGGTCCCTTACCTCAGCTTGAGTCAACTGGTCCACTTTCTCTGATAACTGAACAGGTGGTATTTCCAACAAGGTGGGTGATAAGCTCTCGATACTTCCACTACTGGTGGGTGACACAGGCCGAGACTGCCGCAGCTGGGGTTCAGACCCTGGCCGCTGCTCCATAAAGGATACTGGTCGTGCTGCTGCAGAAGAAGGAGTGACAGGTCTCTGTGGTGATGATAAGGGCCTCTTTTGGGGGGTGACTTGTGGGGAGGGTGGTCTTTGAGGAGAGGATGGTCTTTGGTTCCCAGTGCCGGACCATTTTTCCTGGGTGGGGTCAGAAGTAGGTTCAGGCTCCTCAAGAATAGTATCAGGTCTTTTGGCAGTTTTGGTGTTAGCAGTTTGGACAATCTCAGCTGCTTGCTTGGTGACCCTTCAAAAGAAAAGAGGGTTGAAAGCTAATGCACATAATTTACCAGTTCATTTGAAGAGCCTATGTAAGTCAAGGCTGTGTAATGTTACAGGTATTTTTGTATGGTTCCATTCCTTTAAGCCCCTGTCACCCAAAGCCTGCACTTTTGGAACCATGTACACATACTTGTGAAATACAGTGTTATGACTAACCAGTTACAAGTCACTTTGCTGCCATGTTAACTTGCCAAAACCAAAAAGGCACACCAGATGACTAATGGTGTCAGTCAGTAAGTCAGATGGTTTGTTGGCAAGTTGACATGTCCTTGGTGACCATGTACAAGTACTGACTGACCACAGTTTTCTGCTTTTCAGTTTTCAGTTTTCTGTTTTTTTTGTTTTTTTTTGTTTGTTTGTTTTTTTTTTCAACCCTTTTGAACACTCATTTGCTGGGGGACATACATTTATTTTGAATTTCTGAATAAGAGCCAAAAAAATTGTTTTAAGTTTTCCAAATTGACGCAGAATACTGTAAATGTCTGTTCACCTTTCTTCCAGATATGACTGTCTGCCCACAGACAGTTCTCTGTAATCCAATGCATCACTGTTATCTCTGTCCAAAGCCAATATCAAATCCTCCAAATCAACATCTGTGAGTGGAATCCGCCATGATCGAATAATATTCCTAAACTCTTGCCGAGACACCACCCAGTTCTTGTCTTTGTCAGCTTGAGCAAACAGATCCAATAGCCGCATTCTTTTACGATCTAAGTATTTTTGAATGATAGCCAAGGCAGCCGGGGAGGGCTGGTGAATAGTGGGAACCCCTCTATCTTCACCTGTTACTGTTGTGTCCTCTTCAATCTCTGGGGGAGGAGTAGGAGCCTGGTGCATAACAAGAAAAAAACATTCATGCACTGTTATTCTGGTACAAGTACACACTGTAAGAACTTGAAATTGGAATATTAGGACTTGGCAGCAGCTTAGGTGAGGTAGTTTAAACTAAAAAATAAAGAAGGCTGGTTGATAATATGGACACACTGTAGCAGAACCGTAATGAAAATAATCATCAACATCATAATTAAAAACTTAAGAGAGAAATAAACATGAGGGGGGGGGGGGGGGTGGGCCAGCAGATCTCTACAACCATTCTTTATTCAGAAACTTGTGATCAAAAACTTGCAGTTGCCTTGTACTGTCTTTACTTGTATTGTTAGGAAAGTGATAGAGACAAAAGAAAAAAACACAACAACAACAATGAGGGTTGAGGGTACACAAGGTGACAGATTCAGATCCTACAATGGAGGGGGGGAGGGATCCTACAATGGAGGGGGGAAGGGATCCTACAATGGAGGGGGGGATCCTACAATGGAGGGGGAGAGGGATCCTACAATGGAGGGGGGAGGGATCCTACAATCGGGGGGTTGGGGGAAGCAGGAAAGATCCTTTTGTATATAAAAAGCTCAGTCAACAGTTCTTTTACTGCATTTCTGCTATGAATCATTTGCAAGCAAGTGTAAATGAAAGCCAAAAAGTGTGCATTAATTAATTAATTTGCAGAATTCAGAAGTTTCCATTTTTGGAAGCATTATCTTCATCATCATAATTTGTCTTTCTTCTCACACAATCACAAAGTACAATGTCATGTAATTATCAACATGCAAGATCTTTGAATATCCTTGAAGATCTTGGGGAAAAATAAAAGATCCTTAAAGATCTTGGCAAGAAAATAAAAGATCCTTGAAGATCTTGACAAGAATTTTGAAAATATTTCAAGATTTCTCAAAGACAATTTTCAACACCTTAAATAGGATCCTCAAAGGTCCTTGTGAAGATCTACGATGGTGTACGAGAATCCCAAAAATTCTGCGTTTAAGATCTTCAAGTTCCAAGGACATTTTAAATTGACCTGTGGTGAATTCTTTAGGTTTTGTTCTAAATTAACCAACAAAAAGCTCTCATTAAGAAATAAAGAACAGTCATTCTTCCAGGCTTGGATATAGTCCCTTGGGATATGGAGAGAACATTCAGAAAGCATATAAATCACTCATCTTTGGTGCATGATTTATAGGCTTTCACAAGGAAATTTCCTTCTGTTCTCCCAACATCCCAACTGGCCTTATCATGTTATAGAGCCCAGAAATTAGTTGTCACCAATCAAATGTGGGCCCTATAACCTTATAAAGTATCCACCTGGAAACTGAATTGACCAAACTGTATTATTATTATTATTATTATTATTATTATTAACATGATTTACAACATACAGTATCAATTAAGTAGCAAACCTTTTTTACTGTAATCTCAGGTTTTCCTTTTAATACCATTCTTTTCAAAACTCTTCTTTCAAGTTCAGTTTTACCAGTCTTGTTTCTCAGCCAGTCTTGTCTAAGCCCACAATTGTTTAAAATTTCTCTCGTCTTTTTTCGTTCCTGTAACTGCTTCTTGTATCTTTCAACTTGATGAGCAAAAATATCGCCTTCAGAATCCTGATAACCATTCTTTTCTAAAATAACAAAATAAAGTAATTTAATCTTGGGAAGGGAAAAAACAAACCCTTTCTTATGTATAAACCATAGCAATTAAGTGAGGATAAATTTTCCATCCTAAGAAAGATACTGATCTGTTTTATAAGTTCAGTGAACCATTAGTATAAACTAAAATCATACCTGAAAGCTTCTTCAAGTGATTTAAGTAAAGGTGAATGGGTTAATTTATTTCAGATATCTGGTTTCACCTTTCACATTATATTGCTTTTTATAACATTTAATAACTCCATAAAGTAAACGACAGACTGAGGCAGATTGGCAAGAATGGCTATGTTCAGAACTATTCTCGTATAAACAATCCAGCCTTACTGATGGGATGAAATATGAAAGGTGAATCATAAGTTAAAGCATTTCAACTCAGTTTTGCAATTGGGGACATTAGCTTAATTTGGCAAACAATAAAATTCGTTCATCTGATCAGACAATTACAACGAGGGACAGTTGCCTGTCTATAGTCCCTTCTGTCTTAAAAACCATGTAAATCGAGTTGGTATAAAAGTTAATTAATTGCCTTCCCAGAACTTTGAAAAAGAGCACGTAAATTATGTAGTTCGAGCTTCCCTGAATCGAAAAAATGATAAACTTATGTGCTCATTAACAACAACAACAACAACTTTATTTGTACCCAACATAAAAAGTAGTGATAAAAATAATGATAAATTGACATGAATATAAAGGAGTACTAGCTGCCCCAAATAACCATAGGGCTAGTAAAACAGGGCAGCTAGGTGATTTATGTAATGTAGTTATTTGGGTCAGATATAACACACACAACACACACACACACATGCGCACACACACACACTCAATCATCATACAAAACAAGGTCAAGGAAGCATGGAATGTTAGAGTAAAAAACAAGTGGAAGGCCAGAAAAATTTATTTATCAAGACGAATTAGCTTAAGCTTTTTCTTAAAATGTTTCAGAGGAAGAAGCTTTGTGTCTTCACTTATACCATTCCAGACTTTAGCACCCTGAAATCTCATGTTGAGGATTCCATAATTTGTTCTGGCATTTGGAATAGTATAAGTCATTTTGCTAGATAGTCTGGTATTATAATTATGTAACATCCTGACAGAATTGAAATAAGGGTCAAATACAGGAGGTAAGAATTTCTTGTGAAACTTATACATAAATACTGCAAGTTGAAAGGTAATAATGTCAGACAGCTTCACAACATTTAGATCTTTAAATAAAAGACTTGAATGTTCATTATAAGTAGAGAAAGTAATTTTTCTCAAGGCCCTCTTCTGTAATATAAATGAAGGTTGCAAAGCTGTCTGATAGGTATTACCCCAAACAAATATGCAGTAGTTTAAAAAAGGTTCAACTAAAGCATAGTACAGGCTAAGTAGTGTTTTAGTACTTAAGAAATAATGGAGCTTGGACAGAATGCCTATACTTCTCTTGATTTTTTTATAAATATTAGTAATGTGTGTCTTCCAACTAATATTATAATCTATGTAAACTCCACGGTATCTAATGGAAGTTACTTGGGTTAAAATTTGATTGTTTATAGATAACATAACCTGTTTAGGCAATTTTCTTTGATGGAAAATAACAAAATTTGACTTATCAATATTCAGTGAAAGCTTATTTCCACATAACTAGGTGTAAACTTTCTCAAGTTCAGAATTAATCAAGCTTTCAAACATCTTTATGTCCCTATGCTGAAAGAATAAATTTGCATCATCTGCAAAAAGATGGAAATCCAAAAGCTTTGAACAATTATGAAAATCATTTACATAAATTAAGAATAAAAGCGGACTAAGCACTGACCCTTGGGGCACACCACAGGACACTGTCTGAGTGTCTGAATTAATAGCACCAACAGAAACAAACTGTGATTTATTAAGTATGAAGTAAACTAGTCACCTCTGATACCATAGTAGTCAAGTTTTTAAAGTAGAATTTGGTGATTAACAGTATCAAAAGCTTTGCTAAAGTCTAGGAATATTCCACAAGAATAATCTTTATCTTCAATGGCTAATTGCACTTGGTCAATAAAACTAAGAACTGCATATTCAGTTGAGTAGTGAGAGCGGAAACCAAACTGCTTACTATACTGGATAAGTTGTCTCGTGTTAAGAAAGTCAATAACCCAATTTATACATAAGCTTCTCTAACAACTTATCAAAAACAGAGAGTAGAGAGATGGGTCTATAATTATTTAAACTTGTCTGTTGCAATATGCCATTGCAAATTGCAATTAGTCCATAATCGTTTTATCGTTATTCCCAGTACACACCACTCTTTTATTCATATGCAATTAGCTATAGATTGCGTTAAAAATTATTATTCATAGCGAGTGTGAATGTTTTGTATTTAAGCATCAAGAAAGCGGTTAGGACGCAGAAAATAAAATTAATTCTCATTTCTAGGAAAGGTTGTCTTGTGCGGATATATTTCTTCATGCCGGAGACAAAAATACCACATGAGGAAACATTGTCTGAGAACCTTTCTTAAAAATTGGGATTACTCTAGCCATCTTAAATTTCTCAGGGACAATTCCAGTAAGAAAAGATGTGTTAAATATGGTCTGACATCGTAAAAACTGATCATATATCCTGTATCATTTATGCTCTTACCCTTATCCTCTGCCGTGACATTCACGTCTCTAGCCGCACATTTTATACTGGGCACAATTATAACTCGTCTTCTACTCAACTCCGTCGATTCGCCCCATCTCTTAACGTTGTCACGGAATTTCTTCGATGGTAAGAGATTTCGAGCTTTTGGCGGTCTGATTCCATGCTCTTCGTATTGTTCAGAACCTGTAGCTCTCATATTCATTGGCTACGATACATAAATAACGTAAATAAAAGTGCTCCAGGCCCTAAACCTCAGCACTCTTAAAGTCAATGTTTGTCCGCCATCTTGGAAACTTTGTGAGCGAGGCTGTTGCTACTCTACGCGGTTGCTATGGATAGTGTGTGTTATTTGTCCCTCCCCTCCCCAGTACATCATTATTGTTAGGGTAAATGTGTGGAGCAAGCCGAGTTTCCTCGGAAAAAGTTGAGATGCGAAGTAGTATCATTTTCAGACCTTTTAGTGCAATAATGTGTTTATCTTAGATTAATTTTTTTTTAATTCTTTTTTTTTTTCTAGTTAATACGGAAACGATTTAAAGGGGAACCCCAGGGTATTTTTTAAGTAATTTTGTATTATCTTCTGTCTCGATTTTTGGTAACCCTTTTTGCTAGCCGTTCGTTTTAACGTAGATATATATGTTTCCTAAAGTGAGAACGAAAAACGCGATTAGAATTCCGCCATCTTGGATGTTGATGAGCCGTATTAAGTTGGTCAGCAGTCCGCTCTTGCGTTAGCAGATCGCGTGACTTTCTCGAAAAGTAATAACACTTCGCACTGATACGTTTTTGAGATTGTAAAGCTAGTTTATTTTTAAGTTCGACGAAATGGTGAACTGCTGTGTTCCTGGATGTACCAATTACTCTGCTAAGACAACAAATGTGAGCTTCCATAAGATTCCACCGGACAAACAGCGGAGGAAAGCATGGCTGGAGAGAATTCGTCGCTTGAATATGCCGCTCTTACAATACAGCTATGTCTGTAGTGATCACTTCTCGGCAAGCTGTTTCCAGTCGAATCTTCAAGCAAAGATCACTGGGCAAAGGTATAAACGGCGGCTAAAGGAGGATGCTGTGCCTTCTATATTTGACTATGCTTCACAATCTACTAAAAAGAGACCCCGATTGTCAAGCGAAAATCGCCGCGATCGACGAATGCAACAAGAAGTTAGTTAAATTTTTTGTTTTGATTATTGCCATTTACGAGATGATTTCTTCAACCCAATATGTTACAATTTCTCACTCTCAGTGAATAAGAAACGACCGTAATCTCGTTAAAATAATTATATAGAAGGGCTTTCAGCGACGACAGAGCATTTCTCCACCCCGAATTACCAAACGAGGTAGATGATATTTATCTTGCTCCATGCATCTTCATACGTAATTGTACCTCCTCGACGCTAAAAATTCCCCATTTTGGACTATAAAACGGGCTCACTTTTTGTCCTCTCTTGATGGGGGGCTAGATGTATAAATTTACATAAGTATTATTCCAAAAGAAATAAAGTTTCCATAACAAACGAAGTATACTGTCATTGTTTCATATCAGGATGTCGCGGAATTACTGGCCGCTGCAAACGATCAGAATGCTTCCACAGAAGGAGTAGTAAGTAATGAGGAAGTTGTTATTTCTGAAAATTCAGAATTCTTCTCTTGGAGTCCAACGAAGTGCGATGTTGGAATTCAGTGCTGTCTTCAACCTCTTACCCACAAAAGTAAGGCAATACAAACAGAGTTTGAAGATGTTGCCATGACTACTAGAGCTAGGACTAAGTCTCCCCCTCCGACCCAGGCAAATGCAACCGAAAAAGTTTTCCTACCGACAGATGAAACTACAACTGGCATTTTTCCTCTTTCAAAAACTTCACTCATTAATGCTGAAGGATGGAAAGTTAACAATGATCATAATTATGCTATGCATGCTCCCCCATATGAACTCTTTCCTACTTATGAAGATGACAGTTTCAGTGTTACCTCACAGCCCCCTCTGCCTGAGGTGGAAGTTGTGATACCTAACACTGTTACTGAAGGGAATGAGACGGATAAAAGTGAGGATGACAATGATTACGAGGATGATTACTTCAAGGACCCAAATTGGCATTTGCCACCAAATGTAAATAGTTTCACCAGAGAGGATGTCAAGGATGACACATTATTTGAAGAAGAATCCAAGAGAGACTACATTACCCCTGACTCTGAAAAGAAATCTGTTGTCTTTGAGTCATCCATACATAAATTGCTGAAAAGGTGCCCCAGTTGTGGAGATATAATAATCGATTGTGAAAGGAAAACAACTGGTAGCATGTTGTCAGTTCAATTGACTTGTAACAGTGGCCATACAGTAAAGTGGGATTCACAAACAGTAGTGAAAGGAAACCCCTAGGAAATCTATTGTTGTCTGCTGCTATTTTGTTACAGGAATACTTTTACTGCAATCAGCCAGTGGGCATCATGCTTTAATCTTCAATTTTTCAGTGAAAGTGTCTTTTATGATGCACAGAAAAAGTACTTGTTCCCTGTTATTCATGAGGCATGGGAGGCTGAAAGTAGGAGGCAAATTGAGATTCTCACTGCCAGGGGTGTTGTTAATCTTAATGGCGATGGTCGCTGTGGCAGTCCAGGCCATTCTGCAAAGTATGGCACTTACACTTTTATGGATGAGGACACTGGTAATGTGGTGGCATTTCAGGTGGTTCAGGTCACTGAGGTCACATCTTCTAATGCAATGGGGAAAGAAGGATTTACGAGGTGCATAGAAATGCTTGAAGGAAAAGACATCACCATCAGTAGGATTGCAACAGATCACTATGTCTCTATCACCAGTTCCATGGCCAAAGATCACCCAAACATCAAACACCAATATGATGTGTGGCATCTCTCCAAGTGGGTGGTAAAGAAGCTGACTCACAAGGCAAATCAATGGGGATGTGAAAACCTCTCAGCATGGATACAATCAATCTCAAACCACCTATGGTGGTCTGCTGCAACCGGCAATGGTAATGTTTTGGCTCTTCAAGAAAAATGGAAGTCACTCTTAAATCACATCTGTAATAAGCACATCTGATCAGGAAATACTCATTTCCACCAATGCTGTCATCAACAGATTTCTCCCTCTGAAGCCAAGAAAGTCTGTTGGCTTAAGCCAAACAGTCAAGCTTTCTTAGCTTTAGAGGAAATAGTTCTAGACACTAAATTGTTGAAAGATATTGCTAAGATTACTGACTTCTGCCACACAGGTAGATTAGGGGTATACCAGGGCTTTAGTTTATAAGTAAGATAAAACTTTTCATCAAATCATTCGTCAGCATATCAAAAACCTTCAAAGGCAAACTCTTTTTCTGGCCCTGGTGGAGGATAAAAGTTTCGTATACACATAACTGCACATGATGGTAGAACTACCCTGATTTCCTTGCCCAGTATTCCCCAGCACCACCGAGCCAGCTGTCTGTAGGCAATATGTCGAAGTAATTCATGTTCAGGGCCATCGTATGGATCTTTGTACTGTTGCTTGTACTGACATGTTCCCACCAATAACGTAGCTCCATTCTCTGCCTTTAAAAGCACACACAACCCACAATTCCTCTATTCGCTCCGACGAAGGGCTAACGCTTGAAATGTCAGCTTTTGTAATCGTTACGGTGGCCAATTTACCACTGCAACTTTGTTGATATATCCAAATTATTACAAAAAAAAAAAGGGTACACACCTGATTAAAGTATCTTTTATTCGTTCCCTTATTGTACGAACACACTGAAAGCAGTACATGCACATTATCGGATGAAAACATCGCAGTCGCATGTTACATACCAGTCAGAATTTTTCAGTCGCGGATTTGTGTTTTCTTTCTCGATTTCCTCGCCCGAAATGCTCTCATTATCGCTCTCGCTTTTTTCTGAGTTATTGCGTGGCTCAAACTGATAGGGCTGAATGGAAAAGCTACTCGTAGCACTTTCTTCGTCGTTAAAACTATCGTTAATCGGGGCAGACTCGGATAAATCCATATTTCACATGTACACTAAACAAGTCCACACCTTCGAGTCTCGCCAGGATCATATTTCTTGACGATTTGACGTCACACGAATATACGCTGACCAATTATAAGCAGGCAGTTAGCTTTCAAGATGGTGGAATTCTAATCGCGTTTTCGCTCTCACTTCAGAAAACATATCTAGGTTAAAACGAACGGCTAGCAAAAAAGGTTGTCAGAAATCGAAACAGAAAAAACAGGCCAATAACGCAAAATTACTTCACAAGTACCCCTGCGTTCCCCTTTAACACATTTTTGCTTTTTGCGTTTTAAAATCACTGTCTCGTCAATTTACAATGTATTTTGTACGCTAAAACATTTACATATATAATTTATTATGGACTCCTTTATTTTTTCTGGGACGATGACCGCAAAAGCCCCACATTTTCAAAATGGCAATGGTTTTTCTCGACTCGCCGCTATTTTCTGAACACGTAGACAAGATAATAACGAAGGGACTACTCAACTTTACATTCAATTATAAGCGATGCTTCTCTTTTCGGTCAGTCAAATTATTTCTAGTGGTATAGTCGATGCCTGCCCTCAGTTATAATTATAATATTTAGTACAAACAAACAAAACGATGTTAAGCAACATATCATGAAAACTAAGTAAATAAATAAATAAATAAATAAATAAATAAAAACTAGTCTATGAGTGTTTTCAAAGTTTGTTGCGTTTGTTCTCCAGTTTGAATTACGATCAAATGTTTCCCTCCTTCAGGTGCCATAATGATTTCATGCTTCTTGGTGCGCACGCGCAGAATCTTCAGATCGTTTCGCGGGTCGGTGTCCCTGACAACCCCGCGTGCAATCCCGCAGAGCGTGTTACACATGGATACATATTGAAGGGTGGTCGGGTTGTCCAGTGTAGACCTGATCGGAATTCCATCCTCGCTAACAACTACAAGTCCCACAACTCCCTTATGAGACTGGATGCGCTCTAGCATCTCTTCAACTTCGGCTATTTTCTCACTCGTCATCTTGTGGTTTGACAGGCTAGAAAAACATCAAAGCAAAGGAAAACTGACAAAATTTGCATATAATGATTAACTAATACAGCTTTTTCAGGTATGTTTTCTTGCCCAGACCCTCCTCTGCCAAGTACATTGGAGCAGTCTGGGTAAACCGGGGTAAAATGAAGGGCGTAGTGGAAAACATTGATGCACACGTTTTCCGTGAAAATGTCCCAAATATGAAGAGATGGTGGGTACCCCTGATCATTTTAAAAGAATTAGTGACTCAGATATAATGAATATATGAAGTTCATATATTTTGAACCGCGGTATTAAATACGTATGATGTACGATCCTTCGCAGTAGATAGCGCTATTTATGCAATAGCGAAAATCAGACCTGAAAAAAATCAGGCCTGTACGGGATTTGAACCACTGACCTCTGCGATACTAGTGCAGCGCTCTACCAATTGAGCTAACAAGCCAACTGGGAGCGGGCCGTTAAGTTGATTCGTAATAAACCCGTGATGATAAATCAGATACAATGAATATATAAAGTTCATATGTTTTGAACTGCGGTATTAAATACGTACGATGTACGATCATACGCATGATCGTACATCATACGTATTCATGATCATATTTATATTCATGAATACGCATCATGATCGTACATCATACGTATTTAATACCGCAGTTCAAAATATATGAACTTCATATATTCATTGTATCTGATTTATCATCACGGGTTTATTACGAATCAACTTAACGGCCTGCTCCCAGTTGGCTTGTTAGCTCAATTGGTAGAGCGCTGCACTAATATCGCAGAGGTCAGTGGTTCGAATCCCGTACAGGCCTGATTTTTTTCAGGTCTGATTTTCGCTATTGCATTAAATAGCGCTATCTACTGCGAAGGATCGTACATCATACGAATTAGTGACTGTTCAAGACATCGTGATGGGCGTTCATAAAACGCAGTTTTAGCAGATTGTGTATGGCATCGACTATTTAGATTTACTGGTCCGGCGATAAGTGTCAGATATGCCACTTTAAAAATGGAATTTTCAGTTTTCCTGTTCTCCCACACCATGGTAATAAATTGGTGGAAATTTTCAAGGAACAAACTTTCGCAGAGATTTTACGTCCTCATTTCTGATGATAAAAGAACGAAAAAAAAAAATCAGAAAATAAAGGGGGAATTGAAGACAAAATTACCATAGGATGGATTCTGTCTTTCTACACAGCCTGAGAGTTTCAATTCGGATCAATAATAATTATATATTTTAAGTACAAATAATAACTCTAGCTTCAATTTGTTTCTTTTTTGGCCATAGAATAGTCTGATTCCTCAGTGGTGCCATGGTTTCATAAGACGAGAATTATCATGAAATCCGAGAAAAATAAATGAAGAAGAGAACAGAGCTGCAGTTTAATAAGTAAAGAGCTTTTTTCATCAAGTACATTATATTCGTTTTGTGCCGGTTCACATAAAGGAACTGAAAAAATGCTAGAGGCGTTTAATAATGGGAACACAAGTACAAAAATGATAATCAAGCCGCATTATGCTATGATTGAGAGCATTTGGAAGATGCTACGGTTACCATATTTTGGAGGCCAGCTGTAAAATGAGAGAAACATGTTTATTTAATTGTGTTGGGGATCAAAGAATAGGGAAGTTGATCACCACATCTCATATTCATTATTACATTTAAACAAATCTGCTTTCATTTCACAATACTGATATCAACCTGAATCTGTTCTATATTTTGAAGATTTTGGAGCGTGCCATTAAATTTTAGTGGCGCGCCAAGTTTCAAAGAATCGAAAAAACAAAGGACACATGCAGTAGTTTGATGGCCAGATGAAACTTTTAGTAATCACTTTTGGGCTATTTTTAGTAAATTTTGAATTGGATTGAAATTTGTCAGATTTTCTGGAAATTTTTATAAAAGGATTCGTAACTTCGATTCCCTTTACAGAAAATTTAAAATCCTTTCAAAACAATCAAAAATACTTCCTACAAATAAACACCTTAAACAATCAAACAGAGAGATGAATAAAAACATCAAAACAAAAAGTTAACACGAATGTGATGAGATCGACAACAGTTTTTCCACTGATCTTTAGATCTCCGATCAATGTTTCTGTTTCGCTCTCATTAAGGGACGCTATCTGTCTCAAAAAAAATTACTTCAAGTATCCTATAGTAAAAAATCGGTGTTGTCGAAAAACATTTTGAAAAGGTAGCGAATTATTTTAAACACCAAAATGTTAACGGCGCATGCACTTTTACAATGCCGAACCAGACACGCGGCTCTGCCGGGTGAAACGGCGCCAGTAGAATTGGTTTTTCCCCACAGGCCTTTGGATGAACTATTATCTAAGCACAATTGGGGAAGCAAGCGAAATTTAACGAAAATAGTTAAATCATAACGTACAGGCATTAACTGGCTGTCGAATTTTCAGGGTTAGGGACGGATTATAAACATACCAATCTCGCTTTCAGATAACTTTTACTCGAGGAAATAAAATCTTTACCAACCTGATATAATTTTCAGCTTGAGGATAACGATTATTTTTCAAGCAATTTAAGACTATATGTAGAAGCTTACATCTGAGAGTAAAAGGCCGTGAAAACTCTTACCTCAATGTGAACAAATGTTTTGAAGCACAGCCACTTTAGTTACCGCGGAAAGTCTTAGCAACGGCGGTATTCATTTAGTCAGCCGAGTGAAGAGTGAATTTGCATAGAAAAATACTGTTATAGAGTGAGAATCAACTGTTTCATTGTTTTAAGACAAAAGAAGCTCAAGAGGGTGTTATTGTTAAGACTAAAGTACACAGTATAGATTAACTTGACTGTACGTAACGCACGTAAGCTCCTAAGAGTCCTTTCTTTTCTTTACGAGAAATAATTTTCACAGTAAAAGCAAACTGGACATAGTGTAAACCTTGAATCATATATCTTTTTTTTTGGCAGGACCGTGAAATTTATTAAATTCGTTGTATTTATTAAAAGCTTCTTTTGTTGAAGTAGTTGACATTCATAATCCTAAACTTAATTAGGAACTGATTTAAAAAATAACATAACATTCTTTAAATTAGTAAAATGGCAACCTGGCGCCTTGGCTTATATGTTCTTGAATTGCACTTTTACCGTTAACAAAATAATAAAAAAAAGATTACTTTGTTTTTTGAGCAAGTCTCATAAAGTCAAAACGTGGAATTTAAGCTTAAATAATGACTGTGAACACATTAAACAAGAAGAAGGAGCAATAAAATTACTTACCCCACTTGTCCACAAGTGGCCGTTTTGCTTTATCTCCACAAGTGGCTGTTTTGCCATTTTGTCCACAAGTGGCCGTTTTGCCATTTAGTCCACTAGCGCCCGTTTTGCCATTTTGTCCACAAGTGGCCGTTTTGCCATTTTGTCCACTAGTGGCCGTTTTGCTATTTTGTCCACAAGTGGCCGTTTTGCCATTTTGTCCACAAGTGGCCGCTTTGCCATTTTGTCTACAAGTGGCCGTTTTGCCATTTGGTCCACAAGTGGCTGTTTTGCCATATTTTGTCCACAAGTGGCCGTTTTGCCATTTTTTCCACAAGTGTCCGTTTTGCCATTTTTCCACTTGTGGCCGTTTTGCCATTTTGTCAACAAGTGGGCGTTTTGCCATTTTGTCCATTAGTGGCCGTTTTGCCACCTTCTCCACTAGTGGTCATTTTGCCATTTTGTCTAGTAGTGGCCGTTTTGCCACTTTGTCTACTAGTGGCTGTTTTGCCATTTTGTCCACTAGTGGCCGTTTTTGCCATTTTTTCCACTAGTGGCCTTTTTGTCATTTTGTCCACTAGTGGCCGTTTTTCCATTTTGTCCACCAGCGCCCGTTTTGCCATTCTGTCCACTAGTGGCCGTTGTGCTATTTTGTACACAAGTGGCCGTTTTACCATTTTGTCCACAAGTGGCCGCTTTGCCATTTTGTCCACAAGTGGCTGTTTTCCCATATTATGTCCACTAGTGGCCGTTTTTCCATTTTGTCCACAGGTGCCCGTTTTCCCATTTTGTCCAGTAGTGGCCGTTTTGTCACTTTGTTCACTAGTGGCCGTTTTCCCATTTTGTCCACTTCTGGCCCTTTTGCCATTTTTTCCACTAGTGGCCGTTTTGCCATTTTGTCCACTAGTGACCGTTTTTCCATTTTGTCCACAGGTGCCCGTTTTCCCATTTTGTCCAGTAGTGGCCGTTTTGTCACTTTGTCCACTAGTGGCCGTTCTCCCATTTTGTCCTCTTCTGGCCGTTTTGCCATTTTGTCCACTTCTGGCCGTTTTGCCATTTTTTTCACAAATGCCCGTTTTCCCATTTTGTCCAGTAGTGGCCGTTTTGTCAATTTGTTCACAAGTGGCCGTTTTGCCATTTTGTCCACTAGTGGCTGTTTTGTCATTTTACCCACAAGTGGCCGTTTTGCCATTTTGTCAACAAGTGGCCGTTTTGCCATTTTGTCCACACGTGGCCGTTTTCTCATTTTGACCACTAGTGGCCGTTTTGCCACTTTGTCCACTAGTGGCCGTTTTGCCATTTTGCCTACTAGTGGCCGTTTTGCCACTTTGTCGACAAGTGGCCGTTTTGCCGCTTTTTCCACAAGTGGCCGTTTTGCCATTTTTTCCACAAGTGGCTGTTTTGCCATTTTGTCCACTAGAGACCGTTTTGCCATTTTGTCCACTAGTGGCCGTTTTGCCATTTTGTCCACTAGTGGCTGTTTTGCCATTTTGTCTCCACGTGGCCGTTTTGTCATTTTGACCACTAGGGGCCGTTTTGCCACTTTCTCCACTAGTGGTCGTTTTGCCATTTTGTCCACTAGTAGCCGTTTTGCCATTTTGTCTACTAATGGCCGTTTGGCCACTTTGTCCATAAGTGGCCGTTTTGCCAGTTTTTCCAAAATTGGCCGTTTTGCCATTTTGTCCACTAGTGGCCGTTTTTCCATTTTTTCCTCTAGTGGCCGTTTTGCCATTTTGTCCGCTAGTGGCTGTTTTGATCAAACAATTTTTAGTGTAATAGAAAAAATCCGAGCCCCAGATGGGACTTGAACCCACGACCCTCCGTGATCTAGTCGGATGATCTAACCACTGAGCTACTGGAGACTCTATGGTGAGCAGGGGTCAATAGGGAGCTTAAGCAACCACGACGACGAACGGAGGACGACGACCGGAAGTAGCGAGAACGTCACTGCGCAAGCGCGAACCAAGAATTCCGTCGTCGTCTGATCGTCGACGACTTGAGATGGACCAGTTTCAAGTCGTCGCGAACTTCCGAACTTCAAAGCAGTTTTTCTCATCAAAAGGTGCGGCTTTATTGTCGTTTTTTTGACAGTCTATGGCCAGTTGGAGTTTGTATTCGCTTCTGCGGTTGATTTAAACCTCCCTGTTCAGTTTTCTAAACAAATAAAATTCGAAAACCTACTAACTCATTTTACTTCCTCCGCACAACAGATGTCAAGTCAAGCGGTGAAAGCGACCACGTTAGGTTTAAATTTATTTGAGTATATTTTATGAAAGAGTGCTGTTTATCATTTTTATTGAATGAAAAGGTTTAAATGGCAGTGCAATACACCACTGCTTTCGGTCAAAAGCTGTGTGTATGGAACTGTCGGTTTATTGCTACTAAAACATTTTGCGTGTTGCTGTTCTTCCGTCGAGACGCTTTAAACAGCAAAGAATTCTTCAGATCGGTGTGTCAACATGAGCGTGCGTGAATACCTCTCAGGTTTTGCGAATCTATTTTTGAAATGTTTGATAAAGATCTAGATTTACAGCGATAAAAATTATTCCGACAAAATCACACGGGAAAAAATAGTATTCTTGTTTGAAGCGCGACGACTCATCTATGCCGATCGCTAGCTAGCATTGATTAAAATTGACAGACTTGAGTCGTTTGCTCGCCAAAGGAAGGAGCATCAAAGGTAGAACATATCAGGCTAAAGCACGTTGAAAATCAGGCAAGCCTTGGGCAAAATAGGTTTGTTTATACCAGCAACACTTAGAACTGAATTTTAATCTCGAATAACTTCCGTAAAATTTATATTTTAAACTTTTATCATGCGTAAATTATTGTAAATAAAGCTAAAGCTTAATAATTCCTTGGACTTTTGATGTTCAAGAATTGAATAACGTACTCTCGAACTTTCGATAAAGGTGAAAATTTTGATCCATGACCGAGAAGAAGGTTTTGGAGGTCTCTGAACGATGTCATTTCTTAAACTGACGAAGCGAGAATAAACAAAAATTTCAGACGTCGTCGTCCTTGAGCAACTTCACTGCTTAAGTTTCATTTTCCCGAAAAAAACCAAGTCCTCGTTCCAGACCCTCCGCGATTACTTGACGTCGTCGTCGTCGCTTTCGTCGCGGTTGCTTAAGCTCCCTAATTTGTGGGCCTCGACTGGAACCGCATCGCGCGGCTACACAGCCAAGTATTGGTAAGCACCTGTGAAAACTCACTAACAGCATCACGCTGTCACATTAAGGCATATCAAGATGCGGCCAACCAACCTCCAAAGTGAGCATGTAAAGATCAAACAATTTTTAGTGTAATAGAAAAAATCCGAGCCCCAGATGGGACTTGAACCCACGACCCTCCGTGATCTAGTCGGATGCTCTAACCACTGAGCTACTGGAGACTCTATGGTGAGCAGGGGTCAATTTGTGGCCTGTTTTGCCATTAAATTTTTGTCGACTAGTGGCTTTTTTATCATTTTGTCCACACGTGGGCGTTTTGTCATTTTGACAACTAGTGGCCGTTTTGCCACTTTGTCCACTAGTGGTCGCTTTGCCATTTTGTCCACTATTGGCCATTTTGCCATTTTGTCTACTAGTGTCCGATCTGCCACTTTGTCCAATAGTGGCCGTTTTCTCAGTTTGTCCACAAGTGGCCGTTTTGCCATTTTGTCCACTAGTAGACGTTTTGCCATTTTTTCCAGAAGTGGCCGTTTTGCCATTTTTTCCACTAGTGGCTGTTTTGCCATTTTGTCCACTTGTGGCCGTTTTGCCATTTTGTGAAAAAGTGGCCGTTTTACCATTTTGTCCACTGGAGGCCATTTTGCATCTTTGTCCACAAGTACCTGGTTTGCCATTTGGTCCACAAGTGGCCGTTTTGCCATTTTGTCCACAAGTGTCCCTTTTGTCATTTTGTCCAGTAGTGGCAGTTTTGTCACTTTGTCCACTAGTGGCCGTTTTCCCATTTTGTTCACAAGTGGCCGTTTTGCCATTTTGTCCACTTGTGGCCGTTTTGCAATTTTGTCCACAAGTGCCCGTTTTCCCATTTTGTCCACAAGTGGCGGTTTTGTCACTTTGTCCACAAGTGGCCGTTTTGCCGTTTTGTCCACTAGTGGCTGTTTTGCCATTTTGCCCACTAGTGGCCGTTTTGCCATTTTGTCAACAAGTGGCCGCTTTGCCATTTCGTGAACAAGTGGCCGTTTTTCCATTTTGTCCACTAGTGGCCGTTTTGCCATTTTTTCCACTAGTGGCCGTTTTGCCATTTTGTCCACTAGTGGCTGTTTTTCCATTAAATTTTTGTCGACTAGTGGCCTTTTTACCATTTTGTCCACACGTGGCTGTTTTTTCATTTTGACAACTAGTGGCCGTTTTGCCACTTTGTCCACTAGTGGTCGCCTTGCCATTTCGTTTACTAGTGTCCGTTTTGCCATTTTGTCTACTAGTGTCCGTTCTGCCACTTTGTCCACAAGTGGCCGTTTTCACAGTTTGTCCACAAGTGGCCGCTTTGCCATTTTGTCTACAAGTGGCCGTTTTGCCATTTGGTCCATAAGTGGCCGTTTTCCAATATTTTGTCCACTAGTGGCCGTTTTGCCATTTTTTCCACTAGTGGCCGTTTTGCCATTTTGTGAACAAGTTGCCGTTTTACCATTTTGTCCACTGGTGGCCATTTTGCATCTTTGTCCACAAGTACCCTGTTTGCCATTTGGTCCACTAGTGGTCATTTTGCCATTTTGTCCACAAGTGGCCGTTTTGCCATTGTTTTCACATGGGGCCGTTTTGCCATTTTGTCCATTAGTGGCCGTTTTGCCAGTTTGTCCATTAATGGCTGTTTTGCAATTTTTTTTCACTAGGGGACGTTTTGCCATTTTGTTGACTAGTGGCCATATTGCCATTTTGTCTAGAAGTGGCCGTTTTGCCACTTTTTCCACTAGGGAACGGTTTGCCATTTTGTCCGGTAATGGCCGTTTTTCCAGTTTTTCCACTAGTGGCCATTTTGCCATTTTGTTTACTAGTGGCTACTTGCCATTTTGTTTACTAGTGGCTGTTTTGCCATTTTGACAACTTGTTGCCCTCTTGCCATTTTGTCCCCCAGTGGTCGTTTTGCCGTTGTGTCCGTGAGTGGCTGTTTCTCCATTTTGTCCAGTAGTGGCCGTTTTCCCATTTTTTCTACTAGTGGCGGTTTTGCTATTTTATTCACTAGTGACCCCTAGGACAAAATGGATAAAGTGGCAAAACGAGCACTTGTTGAAAAAAATGGCCAAACGGCCACTAGTGGACAAAATTGCAAAACGGCCATTAGTGGAGAAAGTGGCAAAACGGCCACTGGTGGACAAAGTGGCAAAACGGCTACTAGTGGACAAAAGAAGAAAGCGGCCAGTACTGGAGAAAGCGGCAAAACGGCCACTAATTGACAAAATGGCAAAACGTCCACTAATGGATAAAGTGGCAAAACGAGCACTTGAGGACAAAATGGCAAAACGGCCACTAGTAGACAAAATGGCAAAACGGCCATTACGGAAGAAAGTGGCAAAACGGCCACTGGCGGACAAAGTGACAAAACGGCCACTAGTGGACAAAATGGCACAACGGTCACTTGTGGACAAAAAGGTAAAACGTCCACCAATGGAGAAAGTGGCAAAACGGTTACTAATGGATAAAATGGCAAAACTGCCACTAAGGGACAAAATGGCAAAACGCCCACTAGTGGACAAAGTGCAAAACGGCCACTTGTGGACAAAATGGCAAACCGGCCACTTGTGGACAAAAAGGCAAAACGTCCAGTAATGGAGAAAGTGGGAAAACGGCCACTATTGGACAAAATGGCAAAACGGCCACTTGTGGAAAAAATGGCAATTCGGCCACTAGTGGACAAAATGGTAAAACGGCCATCAGTGGACAAAGTGGGAAAACGGCCACTGGTGGACAAAATGACAAAACGGCCACCGGTGGACAAAATGAGAAAATTGCCACTAGTGGATAAAGTGGCAAAACGGCTACTAGTGGAGAAAATGGGAAAACGGTCACTTGTTGAAAAAATGGCAAAACGGCCACTAGTGAACGGAATGGGAAAACGGTCACTCGAAGACAAAATGGTAAAACGGCCACTAGTGGTTAAAATGGCTAAACGGCCACTTGTGGACAAAATAGCTTGATGGCCACTAGTGAACAAAATTGCAAAACCGTCACTAGTAGAAAAAAGTGGAAAACGGCCACTAGAGGAGAAAATGGCAAAACGACCACTAGTGGACAAAATGGCAAGACGGCTGTTAGTGGCCAAAAAACGCAAAATGGTTATTAATGGCCAAAATCATAAAATGCCCACTTATGGCCACTAGTTTTCTTGTTGCATCTTCTTAGCCGTCTCTTTGAATTTCTAGAGGGAAGTCTGAATCATTATGGCCTTCTATTTCAGTCAGCAGAGGGTATTCCAAAGAATTGATATCCCCTTCCTTGGTCACGAGTGGAATTGGTGAAGCATCAGGTTTGTTGACTTTAATGGCCAGGGGGCATCTTTTAAGAGGTAGGATATTCTTTTTCAGTAACAGAAGGGCGTGCTGTGGCTTCCAAATCTTCTTGTTCAATCTCAGGGGAGCATGTGGAATTATTGGAATCTTCCCCTTCAATCACCGGGGATTATGTTGGACGATCAGAATTTTCTTCGTCAATCACAAGGGGACGTACATGCTTAAGCATCAAGACCTTCGTTCATCATCAAAAAGAATGGCAAAACTAACGTGAAACCTATTTTGGTTTTAAATTATTTCCTTGTGTTGACACCGCTTTATTTTTTAAGATCTTCCTTGTTCCTTTTCTATTCATTAAAATGCGCAAAGTTATAACGAATTTTTAATTCATGCGACCTAATCAAGTAAAAAAGAAAACATTTGGATCGGTGTCGGCAAAACCCTCTTACAGATCGAATCATGGATCTGATCAACGGTTGGATTAGGGATCCGATATTTTATTCTTCCCTCCCCCCCAAGAAATTGTAAGACCTCTAGTAGCAAGAGGTCGTTAATTTGCTAGTAACACCGTTTGGGCGGTTTACAATGTAGCTTCCATTTCAGCCATTAGAAAACTTAATTTAGTAAAGCATTTCCATAACGTCAATGACAAGTATGTTTTACTGTTATCCGCAAGATTTACACAGCAGGACACTCTATATCTTAAATTGGAAACATACCATGAAGGGACGCAAAAGATAGAGGTAAAAACTAGAATTGGCTTCTCTCTAAACTCATTCTTCACGCTTCTTTTTCCTGAAAAAGGTTGTTAAACTCTAGGAGGACATGAATTTTTGAAGCAAAACTTCCGAATAGTAACAGTTAGTCTTGTATAGTCTTATTTTGTCCTCTACTTTCCTCTTATATTTTTGCACAAATGTTTACGAAATATCAATTTATCACTCGTAAAAATTAAGGAGAGGGACCGATTATAAAATCAAAAATAAGAAGTTTTTTCAACGACCCTTTACTTATATGAAATGGTGGCAATATGCACTTTGAGAAACAGGAAAAATTTGCAAAACGTGGCTCAAATATTTCTTTTTTCCTGGAAAAGTTAAGATGAACCTTAAACATGAGAAGACAACTTTACATCACGCAAAGGAATTTGAATTATCTCTTATGGTAAACTCATGATACAGTCGATTAACAAGACTTAATGGGTACGGGACAAAATGATTAAACCCTTTCGCTCCTGAGAGTGATATAGAAGGTAAATTCCTCTCACAATTTCAACACAATATTAACGAGATAGGCAATTAGAGTTAGGAAAATCATCAACCAGGCGATATTGCTTTCATATAACATAATGATCACCCGCTCAAAACTTGCAATTGTTTGAGGGTCAAATGTGGAAGAGCTGAGCAGATTATTTCTATAACCATTCAATTTATCTTTTCTCGTAATCAAGGCCTCATTTGGCTAGACAAATTACCAATCAAGTCTTTTATCTACAGCTGTCACCACAAATAGAACACGGGAAACAAGGTAACATGGTTTTTGCAAGTTTGCAGTTTACCTACCTTGAAACAACTATTGGCAATAGACCGCATTTTCCATCGCTTTTTAGTTCTTGATAACCGAGCGGGAGGTCTGTATGGGAGAATCTTGACCGAGGTCGCCAGTACAGACTTCACTGCGTTCGGTCTGTACCAGCGACCGAGATCAAGATTAGGGAGCTTAAGGATACAGACGTTTTCAGGGCGACGGCGACGTGGAGACCGATTAAGATTGGGGCGAGATTGACCGCGCATGCGGCCCCGCCAGTGTCGCCCTCACGTCGGCGACGTGAGATCAGCGAGTTTGCCGTCGTGGTGAAAACGTGAGTTGATCTTGTTTGTTTTATTTAATATACTGCCTATTTTGTCACTTGTATTAAAGTGATTGCATTATCACATTTCGCACAAATCATCACACGATGTCTCGGCCAACTCAAGAGACCTTTTGTTTTCTCGTTAGGTTAAAATGACCGAAGCAACAGTGAAGTCCAAATCGTCGAGGTAAGTCTTGGGCACGTACGCGCACAGTACTTGAATTCTTAACATAAAAGGGAATTTTTGCTTGCTGCCATTCCCTTTATCAATTCGTAGATGCACCTCAAAAACCATAGTTAGTAGAGGGGACTGGTTAGGAAACGCGGTAAACCTCGAAGGGCCGGCCTATTGTCTGTCCCCTGAGCTTCGATTGAACGTCATGTGACCAATGACCCTGCACAGAACCAAAACAACATGGCGGACCTGAACGACTTATTTTTCTTCGGCGACGATTTTGATGCCATATTGGAAACTTTGGAAAACGAGGAAGAGTTACAAGAGCACTTTGTCGAAGCAGCTGACTCTGTAAGTCTTTGAGAAGCCTTTAAAACGTTATTTTCGCCCAAAAACTTTTTAGTTATTGATGCCCTTAGCAACGGCATGGGTCGTAGTGCAACATATTTTTTTACTGAAATTCTTTCGATTTTTAAGTTCAATACGAAGAGGGAATTGTTTGCGAGTTGTGCCAAAAGAAATGCAAGGCTAAGGCTGGATTAAAAAGACATACTATCTACTAACTATGCGAAAACGTACACCTCAGATCTATGGAGATTTTCTTAGCCGTTTTAGTGCGTAGTCTTGGACTGAAACGTCATATACTTAAATAAAGTTCTTATCGCATCCGACTTTCCGCTGGCTTCTTCGGTAGTGAAAGAGCTCCCGTAAGTTGAGTATCTCTGATGGCATCTAACTGTGTTAACTCAGTGGAAGTGACTTCTTGTAACGACTCCAATTGATATTAGAACGAGCTGTTGCTGTTTGTACATCTCTCCTATTTCAAATTATAAGATCTTAAAGCCATAGGACATTGATGCTCTGATCACAATGTAGCTCTATGAAAAGTGTCTTTAATTCTTGTTTCCAAATTAATTCTAACTCCGACTCCTTTTTTTCAGGACAAAAAGCCTTAATTTATAAAACGCAACAAATAAACTCGACGAAGTCGCAGAAGTCGCAAAGACCGGCCGTCATCAGAATCTTAATTAAATTATGGCGAGAAAACGGCAACCTCTGACCCAGTCTCCCTGGGTTGTCACGTCGCCGTCGCCCCGAAAACGTCTGCATCTTAAGCTCCCTATTCTCACATACAGACCGACCTAGCTCGGTTAATAAGATGTTTATTATATGGTTGTGTCTAGAACGCAAGGGAACATTATATTGTTTGTAACTTTTTTTTTCTAGACCGGTCTAAATGCCGGTCTAGATGCCGGTTTAGATGCCGGTCTAGAAGGGAAAATCTAGACTGCTTTCAATATTGATTTCAGCCAATAAAATTCGTGAATTCGGTAGTTCCCAGTCTTTGTGAAACACAGCCATATAATAAAGCGGCGTAATAACCCACGTGGAATTTGGGAAAAGACGAGAAGAGTTTGTAAGCAATGAGCCAACACGATCTGATTGGCTAATCGCGCGCTAGTAACCGGTCCTACTTTTTACAAAATGAACCACAGTCTAGAGTCCTTGCCGCGCCTATCGTGGACAAGTGGCAGAAAAACCAAACCAGCGGAAAAAAATTTTTTAGCCGGTCTAGATTGGTCCATACGTGAAAAAAATTTGCCCTATGTTCGGTGTTTTCTATACGGACACCCCATCCGGTAAATTACACATATATTTATTGAGTTATATGAAACAAAGATCATATTTTCTCGGACTATCAGGCTCAAAACTGTTCTATTACTACTCATTCATGCCTCTTTTGACGTAGAGACAGCTGCCCTCCATTCAATTCTTTGCTAACAATGTTTGATTTTTATTTCACCGCCTTATAAAGTAAACTACAGCTGAACACGTTTTAAGTTTTGGCCATAAAGAAGGAATCTTGATTCAACCAACCTCCCTAATGCATCGTGTTGAAATAACAGCCACAACGAGGCGAAAAAATTCGGTTTTGTACTATTAAAATCAACATTTTTTCTTCACTTTGGGGCGTATTGTTGTGATAAAATTTCAGCGCTATTTTGGTGAAAATCTTTTTTGTCTTCACTTGAGCAAACCTATTTCTTTAAAATACAAAGCATTGATAAACAAACTCTCTTTTTGTGAGATATTTTTTTATACGTAGTCACATATTTGTTTTATTTTTTAACCATATTTTTAACATTTCCTCCTGCTTCTAATTTACAATCAGTCGAAAATTCGATAACATGCTTACCGATCATTTCCCACACATTTTCATGCAATGTTCAGCCGAAAAGTGTTTTGATAAAGGCTGGGGTTTTAAAGCCGGTCAACTGAGGACTTTTACATCGTTGGACATGCTTTTATCGTTTGTTTGAAGTAAATCACATGTTTTTTTATCAATATTTGGAATTTCAGACAACAAAATAGGGCGCGTCTCGAAAAATGTCTTTTCCATAAAAAAACAAAACAAACGAAAAGCAATAAATCTTTATTAAAGAAATACCATTTCTTTGAGTGACAGTTTGGGTCAATTACGAAACACGTATCCACCGCTTTAAGATTGTCATTATTTCTTCAAATAGTAGAGATTTGACAGACACGGATTTCAAAGACTATATCTCGAATAACTGGAGGATATCTATGTAACCATTAAGATAGCACCTGTCGAATTATTCTCAACTTCGACCAAACGCGCGTTTATTTCATCAAATACAATTGAATAGGATTGAATTTAAGAACGGTACATTTTCTTCACTAGGAAGTATAACAATAGGATTTTCCAAAATTAGCACACTTGTTCAAGTGAAATAAAGACAATGTCAACACATAAAGATAATTTCCTTTCTAAGAATTTAAATTCATTTCTTGTAATCCATCATTTTTCCTTCGCTTAAAATCATATTTTAGGTCATATCTAAATGAACAAAACCTGTGGATTATTGTCCAAAATTTTTCGTTTAAAACAACGATAGAGAATAAAACGCTTAAGACCGTTTGTTTCTGACGTTCTTTTTCCATGATTTGGCTTCATAATGCATATGAATGGTGACGACCATTGATGTATCTAAACGAATACCAAGAAAACTAAACGCACGTTTACAGCCCAAAGATTTATTTTACTTCTTTATTGATTGATACGTCTATTAATCTTGTCCACTTAGTGTCCTGTCATTTCAACGGTAAATTGACCAAACAGAAGAAGGGAATAACAAAAGGTTTTGTTCCCTGGGAGTTTCATTTCTTCGCGGAGACCCGAAGGTTTGTCATCTTTGACGCCAAAGAAGGAGAAGAAGAAGAAGAAGAAGGAATATGTATTCCCCAAAATTTGCTTGATTTTCTTCAGCTTTTGTATATTTATCCTGCTACAGCATTCAACCATAGCTAAGCCCAGAAATGATGTTTTAAGGAGAGGTATGTATAATGTGCATCAATGGTGAGGTTCATTTCGGACACCATAAGCGCAACAAGTGTTTTCCTTCTTACTCGGACTCGCTGAGATCTTTGCGGGCAAAGAAAAACATGTGGATCACAGGTTTTTTTTCAAAACTAAAATTTTATCAAAGGATTGTTAAGATTTGTTTTCTCATTTATCTTCAGGACTATACAATTCCTCGCTCAGTCCACTTACTGTAATATGTCGTTTTGCGAGCGTCACAAGTTTGAAAATCACATTTCTCAGAAAGGGGATAGCTACGGAATTAGTTAAAATTACATGTGATCGATGTCTTATTCATTAACCTTACCCAAAAACTCTCGTAGTTTATTGGCGAAGATAGTCTGAGCTCTGCGGAAAAACAAGGGCAAGCGAATATCGGCACCCGGCATATCAAAATTCCTTTTTCTTAAAAATTCACCATTCTCGCGCTTAATGTAAATGCAACTGTCTTCTACCTCGTTAGGTGAATTAAATCGACTTACCAACAAAAAGAAATATATTTTTCACTCCTTTACCGGGGGTTTTGGGCTGGAGAAGTTGCATTTTGCATCTTGCTTTTTTGTTTTGTTTCGTATGTCTGCTCGCTTTAATTTTGCGTTATGTTTGCCTTTTACTAATTTTTTTTTTTGTTCTGATTGATTTTCTGTTTTTTTTTTTCTTGTTGTTGCCTTTGTCGTTGTTTCTTATTTAACGTATGAGCGTGAATAGCTGGCACTGTTAATTAGTACCAAGCTATGCGTAGAATTACTAGTTAACAGTCCACTGTCGTTCTTCTTACCTCACTGTTTCTCCTTCTCTCATCAGAAAAGTGCTCACTCCAATTTTGTGTCTGTATCTACCTCAGCTTTGATTTAACTATCTACAAGCAATATTCTTTTTTTTGTTTTTTACTTTTTCTCTTTCAGACTTCGAGCAGGATCCTAGCAACGGGTTTTTACTTAAAAGAATGCTTCAACCACTTTGAGTGTGACTACGGAGAGACTTGCGGTGAACAATTCCACATTTGTGTAGCTAATGTTTAGGAACAAGGTAAGGCTCTCTGCAATTTGCGCGGAAATTCAAATTTGCTCGGAGGTAACTAGCATCTTTTTGTGCTATATTTCCCACTGTTTAGTTTATAAAAAAAAAGTACTGTTCACCAATGGTGTCGGTGGCTAACGATAGCGGGCTTGCAGGCGTAGTTGGTGTGCGCGGATTCGGCGCGGCGAATACAGTATATTCGGTCACCAGATTGGTGAATAGTTGTTAATTATCAAAAGAGTTAACTATTTTACAAATAGATTTTATGTCCAGCGCGTCTGTTTAGTAGAAAATTATAAACGACATCGAAGTGAGGAAAAAGCAGCACACGAGACGCGAAATATTGTGGATGATGAAGTCATCTACTCGCCCATCCACCGATAGATCACAAGCGAGAGCCCATCAAAGTGAATCTATTCAACAAATTCGTCAGTCATAGATCGCAGATGACGTGATTACAAAGTACTGAGAGGTAAATAATAAATTGTTTTTTTTCTTACTTTTCTCCCTAGGTTTCAAACGACGTTGATAATGATTTTGGTATCGAGCAAGATTTCACTTAAAACAACAACGAACTTTTTAACATCTTCTAAAAGGAGATGTATGAATACTTAAAAAAAATGAAGAATTTGAAGTTAGATTTCGAGAACGCTTTTCGAGAACTGTTGTTGAAAGAGCGTGCCGTTAATAAAATGATTTCTGATTTCAACTTTGGCAATTTTGATGGAAATATGGAGCTAAACCCAAAATATAGGTGTAGTTGGCAAATAGTAACTTGATGAAACTATCAATAAAGTGAAATTCAAACAAAGTATATCTTTCCAATGCAATTTAACCCTTTACACGCGAGCGAACGTTAGTATTCATATTTTTCACACTGATCTCTATACATTTCCTGTGGAAATGACAAGTAGAAAATTTGGACAATCGGAAGCATCTTAAATGCGGTAATCAATTCACAGGTTACTATTAAATTTAATTTAGGGATGATTCTCTAAGGGGAAATTAGAACCCAGTCACTTTAGAGGGTTAAACCATTAAATGTCTAGAACATGATAAGGAGGGGGGGGGGAGGAGAAGATCGGCACCTACTGACCCTTCCCTCCCTCCCTCTCTCCATTCTTAAAGTCGGAGGGTTTCAAAAATATAGTCTATCTTCGATGGGGAAGTGGAGGATTTTCGAAGGGGGAAAGGGGGAATCGTCTCCAATAGAGTATAAATGAGGGATTACCATAAAATTGACCGCCAATTGCAATTAATTGCCGATGAGGAGGGAGTGATAAACTTCATAAGTATAAGGGAGTATCCCGTAAACTTCGACAACAGCGAAAGCAGACAAAAAAAAGATTAAATTAAACAAAACGAAACGAAAGATGAAACGCAAAAATTCAAAACAAACAATAAAAACAAACAATAAACACAAACTAAAAAGTAAAGAAGTAAACAATCGTTTAGAAATAGTCTGAAGCTGACTATTAATCACTATCACAAATTCATTTACATACAGTTAATTTTATTGTTAATTATTTTTTAATATTTTCTATACTAAGTAGTGAACTCGGCTCAAGGCAGTAATCTGCTTTCATCGATCTCGTCTGGATTAGTTGAGATGTACTGGCATCGAGAGTAGCTGTCTCTTCGTGGAACACAAACCATGCCAAGTCGACAGGGACACTCTGTCATCGAACCGGGCTATATCATGATAAAAAAGAAGAGAGTGTGAATGATTCTTACATGAAAAAGCCTCGTGAAATAATAATACTAACTTCTTACTAACCGAGCGTAAGGACCTTAAGTCCGTCAGGAAGTCAATACCAGAGAAGACTTCGAGTAAAAACTGAATTTCTATTTTTTAGTTAGAATTTCGAGAACAGCTTCATGTGTTTACCGTTACTTATATCGCCATTCCTCAACCTCAGCGAAACATATATAAGCAGCTTTGAGTTCAAAATGGAATCTTACAAAAATTCACCGTGGCAGTTTCCTTCCGCAGACGATGCAAATTTTAGAGATTTCATGTTGTTGTTTTGAGAGGACGACTAAGAAATGTGCAAAATCTTAAAAAGCACGTGCTAAGCTATTGTTCTGCCCATCGGATCTTTTTTTTTTTATTTTTTTTTGTCACGTCCTCGTTACCGTCGCCGTCGTGGTTTTCGTAAGGTCCCTAGTATTATTAGCCCAAGGTCATGGCAATACCGACCAAGCGCAGTCTTATTTGTTGTCGGTTTCACGCGAGGACATGTAGCCTTCAAAGAACTTTATATTCGTGTTCCTTTTGTCTCTTGTGGGTCTATTAATTCCCCTGGCAGACGTCTCGAACACCCACTTCGCTTAGCGCTTTAAGTGTGCGTTGTCGACGAATGATCCCCCCCACCTTCCCCCATAAAAATCATATGATCCCCAAAATTCTCCCCCTTCTTTTCTCCCCCCTCCCCCCCCTCCCCCCAACGGCGACAGATACCATTGACTTTTAACACCAACCTTCATGTAGGGATTGCACGGTTCTTTTAGCTGTGGTTGATGGAGACAGACACCTTTCAATGTGGACGATAATCCAGCGCAGCACTGTTTAGGACTACACTCACTATGGTTTGAACACTTAACGAACGGTTTCTAAGATGAAAAAAAATATAAATAATAAAAAAAAAAAATGCGAAACTTGTGAAAAGTAAAATTTGTGGCTGTGTAACGCGCCCTGTCCCCTCGGCCAAGATGTTCATTAGATACCTTTCGGAATTTTCAAGACAATTTGTTGCCGGAAATTGCAAATGCGGCCAAATTATTTGTAGTCTTGTATCTAACCGGTAAATATGGTGACGTAAGGTTTGCGAACTGATCGAATAGGAAAGTAAAGCTAAACCCTTCTCGGATCCTTGCAAAGTTAAATTGAAAAGTACTCCAAAATGCTGAAATAAAGATAAGCCTTTGAATTTTTTTCAAAGTACAAGATATGATAATATCGCGCTAAATCTTTACTTCCGTGATCTTTTTCGCTAATCTTATCGTCATTTGAGGTGGAACATAATTCCAAATTTCGACTCGTTCCTGGCAAAGAAGCGGCTCAAGATTCACACCTATATTTCATTTGATTATGTTCTCTTGGATGAGGAGGAATAAAGCAGCTGCAAATAAAATTGAAGAAACAATCGGCCCGGAGAAGTCAACTGAGATAAGCGAAAATTCGTTGATGCTAGTGTGACAGTCTTTTCGCTTTTGTTCAACGTCATAGCTTAATTATCTGATACATTAGATTAATTATTGGTTTTGCTAAATTTGGCGTCGATATGTGATATGATATTGATATGTCAGTTTTATCTATCCTTACAGTCTTCTCAATTTAATATTTCAGTGTTAAGATTTTTTCTTATTGTTACTTTTTAGAGTATGTTGCTTTGTGAATTGTTCTCGTGCGAAAATATGGAAAAATGCATTCTCAATTTTGTCTTTTTGTTCGATGTTTGCCGGTAAACTCATATAATTTCCTGTAAATATATATGTAAGCCGGTTTTTTTTCTTATTCAAACACTGACCTCAAATTTCACCACCTTTTTCATTCTATTTATGAACAGGATAATTTCTCCTTTTCTGATTGCCGTAGTAACAAAAATACTTTTCGCATTTCAACCAAATTTATGACCTTAGTCGCCAAAGAGCTCTCAGAGGCTTTGTGTCTTATAAGAAATCATTGAAAGTGAAAGGTTTGAAGTTCCATTCATCATAAAACGCTTTTCTTTTTCTTTGTCTCATCCTATTTTCAAACGTTGAACATCACGTTCAACTCAAACGTACAATTTGACAATATTATCAAGTTCGATCTGTCTGAAGGTGTTCTGAAGTTTTCACCTTTTCATAGAAATGTAGCGCCGAACTTCGCGAATAGGTTCAATTGACCTTCTGCAAAGTGTCTGTGTCGATCTTATTTAATATTTGATGTGTGCCTGTTCTACATCCATGGACAATAAAATTCACCCGTTTCGGAAATGATTCGATTTTTAGAATCTTGAATGGGTCACTCTCAAGCTAAATTTGATTGGGGAAATATTAGAGAGAGCATATTGTCATTAATTTTATCACAAAAGTAAATGTCAGTAGCCCCTATTACTGAGCAACTTTGTCTTCAAAAGCTACAGATATTTTAATACAGATTTTTGCCTTTCAAAACCCAAGATCAGTTTGTTTACTAGAAACGAGGAACATAGACTAAGAGTTGGAGAAAATTTTTTACTCTTACTAGTTTATTGCTTCTGTTTGCATTTCTTCGTTCGGTATTGGTTTGGGCAAAGATAAAACTAATTTACAAGACGTTGATACTTGCATTCGCTTTTCAGCAAGAAAAATAAAAAACACCTTTAACTTTTAATCGTTGAACAGAGCCAACTTGTCTTATGAGCAAAAAGCCTCAGAAAAAATTCCAGTCTTGGCGTGGCATGCCACGACTTTTTTCGGCTTTCCTGTTATTTTTCTAAAACCGCGCGGTCGCGTCAGGGAGGTTTTCAAATACTGCGCACAACATGAGAAAAAATGCCTATGACAAAATAACAAAGTCAGGTATTTTCACCACAGATACCAAACATCCATTAAGTCATGATGGAATCAATATATCATGGTGCAAATAGAGCGAACTCTCATGTACGTCGAAACCTGGTTTAGACGTGCGTGAGTAAAAATAATCATGATAACTATAATGAGGTAAAGATCATTTATAAATAAAATACACACACAAACCCTGTTCTGTCTTACAAACATTAAAAGGTAACCAATATTTTGATATAGTATTACCGGGGGTCGTGTACTTTTTGCACAAATTATTTATCGTTTCCATTCTTTTATTGAAATGCAAAATTGTACTTGAGTAATGCATTCTTAAAAAAGAAATTCATCAATCAAAAACTGAAGAATTGTCAATTTGTTAAAAGTATTTTGGAAAGACTGAACACATTGAGTTAATAATTTTGGCTCACCGGGTAAAACTTGAATTATCTCTTCAAACTACAAACTGGAATCTCTCTTTCACGCAATATACATCCCCACCAATCTTTCACAAATTTTGACATTTTCCAAATGGTTGTACCTAAATAAAGAATTTTGAAATAAGAGAATTGGAATTTACGTTGGCGAAGAAACTAATTGTTAAAAAGGAAATTGATAAATAGAGATGACATTGACAAAATTTTGCCAATTACATAACAAAATGAATCGTAAGCATTTTCTGGCATTAGAATAACAAATAAGGTAAGAAAGGTGGGCCTAATTGAAATTCGATTTAAAAATAACACAACTACAGCGATAACAGAGTTTTCCCAATGGGTGGGTCGACCTGCCATTAAAGAATTATCCATTTTGTATGCTGATCAAGCCACCACCAGTTGCGCATTAAACAGAGTTTCCGCTCGATACCACAACGCAGAGCAGAGCTCCGTGTGGGCTTAAAAAGATGTTTTATTCCTCGATGGTCACTCTGCGACCAAAATAGAAACCGTATTCAGGACGTTGGGAAGATTTTAACATAATGGTAAGAATGACTACCGTAGACTCTTGAAAGTAGACGTGCAATATTGTCGTCCGCCTACAACATATGTTTAAAGTGATTTGAGATATTAGCTCAAACTTGATAGTTATGCAAATCCACTGAAAGCAGGCAAGCAAAGCTCGATGGATGACGCTTGAGAAACTCTTTAATAACTGCACATTAATCAAATACAAAGAAACAATAAAAGAGAATCCTTGTGTTAGAACTTGCCTCAAAATAACCTCGCAATCAACTCCGGCATGGCACTATGTTTTCTTTTGAGTCAAACGCAGGTTTTTGTCTCAGTGGTATATTCGCTTTTATTAATAGCCGCATCACGCTGTGCACAATTAATATAAGTTAACTGACATTTCTAAATTTGTTACATTGGCAAAATTCCTCTCCATTTTACCATTACAAATAAATCTCCTGCTCGGATTGAAAATTATGCTAGTCATCTTGTTCTTTCCGATTTAAAAGTCCAAATAACGCATTTACAATAACTCTTGTATAAAAGAAATGAAAACAGATGTTTTTCGTTGTTGGTGTTGCTTCTCCTAAACTCAAACGTTGAAAAGTACAAAAAGAAATTCACGGGAAAATTTGGTTTTTACTTTCTACAGAGCGCCAAAAACATTAGATATTTTTCTACCAAAGAGTTTTAGATTATTTAAAAGCAATACTGTCATGCGAAATCACTTTTTTTCATGGCAACACAGATGAGAAAAATTAAAAAGAAAATCACACCTATAGGAAAAAAAAGTAAAATAAGAAGCAAATAAACTTACCTGTGCAATAGATGTTGATAGAAGAGAGGTAAAGACTACTGTACAGAGCAGAAATGATTTCATTTTTATTGATGTGCGACGATCGGATCTTGAGTCTTGGCTAAACCCTCGAAACGTACTATCAAGCTGGCGTCCACTTAATCGTATATATATGTGCATTGGGCTTTTCTCCAGACTTTTCCTCGCCCCCGCTCTGTCACCAAACCATCGAATGTTACATATGTAGTATTTTTTGACCATTATGTATATTCAAGACCGGATGGTCATATATCACCGCATAATCGCACGTTCAACTTGACCCCAGAGGACGCGCATTTCACGTGTACATGCATGCAGCAACTAGTTTAACAACATTACCTACTAAAGGCGTGCTAATACCTATGGCAGATGTTTCCAAATAGTACAACGTGCCATGCACCGATTAAACAGCCCTTAGTGAGCAGAAAGGAAATTTTAAAAATACGGAGGTAGCGAAAGTCCATTTACAATCGAACAGCTCAAGGCTTGACGATTTCCAGCTGATTTCTAACCCACAGAGTTTCTGAGAAGCTATACAGAACTTGCAGGATTGTTCGCCATGCGGACAATTTCTCATCGAGAAAATCATGTTCGAATTGCTTTAAAAATACACCGACTTGGAAAGAAAAAAGAATTGCTGAATTTCGGTGAAATTGAAGTATTGAAATATTAGCCACCATTGTTAGCTTTGGAACAAATAAACTTAAACTTAGTGATAAACAATTAGGTACATCATCAAAAACTTTCGTTCATGTTTCTTAATTACGCTGTTTGAATCTATCTTGAAGAAGGGCGGCAACTCAGAGTATAGTTTTGTTGGTTTTTTTTTTTTAACTGCAACTTCTTGTACTTTTCTATGGAATAGCACAACCTTTAGTCAGTCATGTGAAAGCAATATCTTATCTTTAATTTCTAGGTTTGTGATTTCCTAATCACTGAAAATTCTGACGTGGCAGTCCATCTTCTTTTATGTTGGAACTTTATTAACTATCTAAGTGTGCCACCAGGAAAGTTGAATCCAAATACAATTTTATGAATTTAACATTATTTCAAATAATTGGCAGGAGATTTTTCAAAGAACTTGCTTTTTCACAACTACCTTTCAAAGAAACTATCTTACATTGAAAAAAAGACAAAGGATTGTGGTTAATGGCGTTGGACATCAAATATTCAGAATGTTCCGGAACCTGTAATTTAATTCTTCAACAATAAGGACCTGAGTAAATGTGATTTCTTCATAAAACTTGAGTTCCGTTGTTTCAAGGTTCGCTACCTATTTCAAGAACAAATTCAAGCATCACTAGCTAACTTCACTAAAAAGGGCCAGGACTCTTCTACCTCAGTTTTTGGCGCTAAGCTTAATAACAATTGCTCAAAGAGAGGCCTCGTTACAAAATAGCTTTAAATGGAAGTTTGTTTACTGACTGTATCTCAAGAGGGAAAAGCGAAATTAAAACTCTAGTAATTCGGAAGCAGCTTAACAAACTTATTTCATTTGACGCCCGGACGGTAAAGAAAGTCTTGTCACTTTCAATTCCGGTGGAACAAAAGGGGCTTTTTCACCTATATTGTGGAAAAAACTACTTAACCTAATGGCTTTTGTAAGCCTTTCGATCTAAAGAAGTTTGGTTACTTTCATTGTTCGTCTTTTTACTACGAGACCTGTTGAAAAAGGGTGTGGAAATTTCGCAACCTCTGAAAATTTCGATGACATGATTACTTAGTTTTACTAATGTGAAATCAGCACGCTTTATACAAATCTATTTTGAGGACGCTTATTTTATATACATCTGCTAAAAAATAAAAATAAAAGGAGTTAACTGTGCTTAAACACTCTCGACAGCCTCGCCAATGGATCTTGATTACATATCACATATCATCTGATGCTCTCAAATTCCTTTTTTTTGTTATGTAACAGTATATCTGTATATATATATATATATATATATATATATAACTAACTGCAGACAGTACTGTTTCGGCCTTCTGGGCCTCATCAGTGCAGTGCTAATGCTAGGATGGATCCAACCTTTGTGGGAAAGCTTGGCTTTAATTTCGCAAGTCTATATGCAATACTTTTTTGGTTTGAATTTTTTCTTTGCTTTGAAACCATAATTTGCCATGTCCAAGACCGAGCGAAAAATAATTTTAGCCTACGACCTATTTGAATTACAGCTGCACATACAAATAAAGCAGACACCTCATTTCAAAGCAAAACGCTGCAAACAAAATTTATTCTTGTAAAAATCATCGCGGCATTTATCTTCACCTGTCTATTCTTGATTTTACAGGAGTGATGACTCTTACGGCTGAGGGTAATATATTGCCACTCTACGGCTAACAGTTATTCCTTTCCCTTGCAACTTAAAAGAAACATTTTTACCGTTAACTTTTTTTTTTTATAACTAACGGTTAAAATTTGTCAATTTTTTACACCTAAGGGCGAATTTTTTTTGGCCTTTTGACGGCTAACGGTTAACACCGAAGACTTTCTTCTGAATAAGTTCAAGGAAAATGAAGTTACTGCAAGATATCATTCTCGCGCTGATAAGCTCTTAAATTCTCGTTACTTGTTTACTGAAAATCCTTAAAAAACTGAGAAGTTACCTTTTAAATCAAGATCTCTTGCTGGAGCCAACTTATGGTTTTCAAGCAAAAAAAACAAAAAAACAAAAAAAAAACGGGTTACATCAGCAACATTTCTAGATTTGCAGCCCAGAGTTGATAAGACAGTTTGCTCAGAAACCTTTACGATAAATGTTTACCAAAAATAGATTTTTAAGAAAATTGGTAACCCGCTGTTCCTTTCATGCAAAATTCGATTAAAATATGAAATATTTATAGCTACAATATTCCTGTGCCAGTGCAAAGGAAACCCTTTCATTCCGAAAATGTTTCATTGCATCATTTCACCATTTAATAGTATTGAATAGTTAATAACAAGTTATCTGTCAACGATAGCTTATAGGAGCGCTGTGTCAATTATTTTACCATAGTCACCAATCTCTAACAACTTGTGAACGTTTTCTCGTATTATTGCATGTCAGACTCCACTAGGGAAAAATTCGAAACGTGTTGGGATCGAAGGCTGCCAAGAGAGAACACAGTTGTTTCCTTAGACTCAGTTTGTGTCATCAATCAGAAGCTATTAAACTTCCCGACTTCATGAAACCGCGAGTGGCGCATGCTCCAGGCGAGATTTGATTGATTCATGTCACTCAAAACAAATAGGAGTATAACGGACGTGTTCCGCAAATTACTCTTTAAAACTACGAGTGGGCGCGACAACACAACGAATTCCTTCCTTAGTTTGTGCCACCAAGAAAGCTTCTGACAGAATCAAGGTCATTTTTCACGATGCAAAGCGTTTTAACTCATTTTAAGCCACAGCCGGAAAGTACAGTTGTCGCAAATCGTACCCTGATGTAGACCTCGAGACAAGCGTAATCAGATCAACAGCTGCGGCCTTATAACTTCCTTGAAGGTCACTTAACATTTCATATCTACACCGCTTTAATGCGTTTTTATTGGCTTTTAAGGCAACAACAACAACAAAAAAACGAGTATCCTTGTTGCTTCTTTAAAGATGCCTCCCAAGCTAAAAACGCACCGGAAAAACTATTAGATGAAATGGCTTACACACAGCATTTAGGAAAAAGGAACATGGAAAAAGATATATCCCTACAGAGAGAACGTGACTTGATTTAAATGAAGAGAAAAAACAAGTAGAAAGGTTTTTTTTTAAGCACACGTACGTTTTCAAAGTGGTCTGTGCACCTTGCATTTACAGGAAGTTGAAAGGAAAACAGAAGTTAAACTCGGCTCGAGTGACATTGGCTTGAACGAGCAACATCTTTCATTTCGTATTTTGGTTTCGTATTTCATCGCTAGGGCGCCGTGTGAAGGAAAATGATCGAATGGACTAAAATATTTTAGGCAAAAATATCCTAGAAATATATTATTGTGAACTTGATAAAGTTATACAGTAATATAATCGATAAACCTCTTATCAAAACTAACTGCGATCCATCGTTCCTAACATACTAAACACACTAGACGCACCTTGCAGGATCGCTGTGCATTTTTATGATAATACTTAAAGAAGTTTTGTTTGTCCTTAGTGCAATAACGATGCACTTATCTTTAAATTTGTTAATTCCAGCCAACGCCTTGCACAAACAAGAGGTACTTCCCAAGAACGTTTCAATAAAATGGCTATCTTCTAAAGTTGCAAGAGATGTCTATCTTTTCGCTTCGTTTTCTTGCGACTCGTCGTAAAAATCCACTTTTAAAAGTTTATTCTTATCATTGTTACTCGAAAAACGTTTGTAAGGGTCGTTGAACTACATGCTGTTCTTCTAGAAACTGTTAGTCAGATGTGACCTAAAAATACGGTTTACTGCGTTAGTATAGATGTGTTTCCCGCATTCGCCCAAGGTTTCACGCGTTTTTCACGTTTTACGTGTTCTCCCGCGTGAGATCACGCTAAAGGTTGCTGGGTTCTCCTTCGGCGCCTGGAGATAGCTACAAGTTTCATCATGTTTGCAACAAGCCACGTTTTTTTCACGTCTGTAGTGAGTTAAGATATTTGTCACGAGTTTCAACTATTTTCCCGAGCGTTTGCAAGGCGTTTAACGTTTCACGTGCCCACAAGATACATATTTCCCGTTTCTAAGATACGTTCATATGTTCGTGCAGTTTCAATATCTTAAATGACTTTTCCACGTTTGAAACAAGTCAAACACTTTCCCGCATTTGCAAAGAGTTACTCATCCCGTCAGTTCTACGTTATAAGTGGCCATAATTTTTCTCGCGCTTGTAACAAATTGGTTGTTCTCTCGCGTTTGGAAAATTTTCGAGTTTTTTCTGCGGCTGCAACGGCTCAAGTTCTCAGTCTGAAACGAGTCACGCTCTCTAACGTTAACCGCAGTTTGCGTTTTTCACGTGGAGCGCGATTTGTGTCATTTGGTGATGCATCATCTCCAAACACATTTACTCGTGATGAGCTCATTTTATTTCAAAAACATCGAAAATTTCAAACACCTTACAACTCATAGCAGTGAATAAACGAAGCCGAGGTTATTTCAGCTCAAATTANCTATAACCAGTAAATAGAGCCCTAGAGTGAGATCCAAATGTCCGCTTGAGTAAGCCCAATAATCTGTTCGATCTTGCAACAACAGACAGTACGTGGGGTTTCCAAGATAAATCACTGGAAAGAACTACCCCAAGATGTTTGTGTGTAGATACTTGGGTAAGTAGCTTGCTATTAATAGAATAGTTGCACGGAGAGGGAGTTCTAGCCCTGGTGAACTTCATGGACTCGCATTTGTCAGCATTTGTTCCTAAAAGCCACGAGCCACACCAATCAGTGACTTTATCTAGACTCTCCTGGGCAGTGATGGACGTTTGAGATGGAGTACAGTAATTATAGATTAACATATCATCAGCAAACATTTCTGCAGGACTTGATAAAGATTCAGGGATGTCATTGACGTATAGGATAAATAACAGGGGGGCAAGAATGCTCCCCTGTGGAACACCAGATGTGACAGGCGCCCAGTCAGATTGGCAGCCCTCGATTACAACACGTTGAGATCGACCTTGGAGAAAATTGGATAGCCAGGAAAGTAGAGAGCCGGTAATGCCAAAGCGTTCTAGTTTGAGTAGAAGACGGTCATGAGGAACTGAGTCGAAGGCCTTTTCGAAGTCCAGAAATATTACATCGGTAGAGAGGCGTTTATCTAGTGCTTTGGCCCATTCATGGAAAAGGTGTATCAACTGAGAGGTACAGGAGTATCCAGGACGAAAGCCATATTGATGACTACTAAGTAGATTATTTGATTCAATAAACCCAAAAATGCGATTGTATATCAGTCTTTCTAGGGTCTTTACAATCAGACTCGTAAGAGAGATAGCACGATAATTCTTGACTAGATCTTTTTGGCCCTTTTTGAAAATTGGAATGACGTGAGCAGATTTCCATTCCACAGGCAAGGTGCCAGATTGGAGTGAAAAGTTAAATAAATTTGTCATGGACTCTGATATAGCTGGTGCAGCCTCGCGAAGCATACGCGCTGATATCCCATCCGGACCATGAGCTTTTGTAACGTTTAAACCAATGAGCAATTTCTCGACCTCAGATTTAGAGCAAAGTAGACTTGAGATGACTTGATCAGTAAAAGGTTGAAGATCGTCACGTAACTTCTCAGGAATACCAGGACTCTCTATAAAAACCGATGAGAAGAAGTTGTTGAATAGCTGTGCTTTATCGAAGCTGTTTGAAGCCTTTTGGTTCTCCAGGGATACTTCAGGTGGAATAGATCGTGATTTCGTCTTAGATTTTATGAAAGTCCAGAAACGTTTAGGATTGTTACTGTTTTGAAGAGACTGAACATGGTGCCAATAGCTCTTGTTTATTTCAGATTTGACTTTGTTTCTACACTGCCTATATTTTTCCCAGTCAGATTGAAGTTGAGATGATTTAGCTTTTTTCCATAAGCGTTTCCGTTTGTGAAAAAGGCGACGAATTGCAGATGTTAACCAAGGAACATTTCTTTTTCTTTTCAAATGATGTGTATTGATGTTTTTATTAACAGCAGCAAAGAACAATTCTTTCCATTTAGTCCACATTTGATCAACATTGTTCTCTAAGAATACATTGCCCCATGGGGCATTGGAAAGATGAGAGCGAAAACCTTCCCAATTTGCATTTTTGTAATCGTAAACGATCTTTGGAGCTTGATGTGGACGGGAAATAAAGACATTAAAGTCGAAAAAAACAACGTTATGATCTGAATTTCCAAGGCCACAGTCTATCTCAACATTAGCCAAATGAGCAGGAGTGTTGGTTAAGATTAAATCCAATAAAGCGTCTCCTCTGGTAGGTTTATTGGATTTTTTTCAGTTTCAAACGAAGCAGAGCTAATCTACAAAAGAAAACACGAGTTCTTCCACAATTGTCCTTAATTTCAGGATACAACCCATGCGGACCGGATTTTTTGTGTTAAACCTTATGAACGCGAGGGAGAGTTTGGGAATTAAAAAAAAAAAGAAAAAAAACGGACGTTGTTACAAATCTACGCAATGTTGATGTCAATGATAATACAGAAGACAAATGAAACTCAAAAACAGCGTCTACCTCATTACACACATACATTCGAGTCCCCCCCTTCCCCCCCCCCCAAGCTCAACCCCAAACCCCTGCGATTGACTGGCTATAAATTCCTCCTTGCCGTATCACCCTTGAATCAAATATACAGGTCGTGAGAGTAAAGGAAATGATCCCCAATTTAAGAAGCTCTTGAATTTCAACCGAATTCTCCTTATCATTACCACAGGGAAGGTAAAGAGAACGGTTTGGAGAATACGAATACTAATCATGGCTCGGGTGAAAAGGGTTCAAACAAAGTTCACCTCACATAGGGCAATAACTTTTTCCAGCTGAGCAGCTCTCTAAATGCAATGACTATCCTGTCTGATTTAAAATCACACTGAACGTTTTCCACGCCTAAACATAACGAGTGATATACTACACTGCGTAAGATAAAAGAATGATTTTTTTTTACTACTAAAGAACAACAGTGAAATACTACAGTTCTTGTACATGCAAATTCTTGTAACTCTGAACAAAAAAAATTATAAACTTCATTAAGTTGACTATGCGAGAATTTGCATTTTTTCAAAAAATATAAAAAAACACGAATACATTCGTTTAACTATTGCAGTCTAAACGATCTATTCCGTGCTCGAAGTTTCCTTGTGCATTCTCCTTGGCCCCCGACTTCCACTTGGTTTTGGAGGCTTGGCAAACTTTTGTCTGATCAAGTCCTTACGGGGGTGGAGTTGGTCGTGTAAGAACTCCTCATTCAGTTCCTTAGGATCGGACGTTTCAATCTGGGAGCCAAAGTTACTTGTTAGGGACTGGTCATTATCAGAGGGGGAGGGTCAGTAGATTTTGGTTGTGTTGCGATAAAATTTACTCATCCCC